GCTCTCATTTCATTATGTGCCTTGCTCCCTGATTGTGCAGAGTTATAGAGAGAAAGATTTATGAAAGAAAGATTCAGTACTACTGATGTTTCTCTGCTGCTGATGTTCTTCTCCAAGTGCTTCCTGCCAGATTCTGTCAGTGAACGTGTAACGGCTTAGGACAGCAGTCATACAGTCAGTGTACATTTGTTTTTCTGTTACATGTTCTCACAATGTCAGTTTACCCAATCCTTAATAAAAAAAAAAGAGATTCTGTTTAAACATGGGGATTTTACTTGAGTCTGTGTGGGTCAGCACTAGCTAGGAAGGACTGGTTTTTCCATTTGTGTGTTAGTGTTCCTGAAAAAACAGGTTAAGTGTGAAGATGAACAAATTATACTTCGTGTTAAATTTATTAACCTGCAAGTAGAAAACAGTTTATATGAACAAGCTGGGAGCTCTGGCAATTAAAGAGGTACTCGTAACTTTGGTATGAATTTTTTCTTTACACAGTAAAACCGTGACTTTGGAGAAAGGGCTTATTTTAAAGTGTTGAAGTAACAATTACATATGTTGGCCTGTCAGAGCAAACCTGCCGTTCCAATGGGTTTACACGTCACCATCATCGTGCCAAAGTAGGACAAGAGTCTGGAGGCCTAGTTTCACAGAAGAGTACGTGGTACAATGAACAAGACTTCGAGACCTCACCACAACCAAATGTATGCATTCCAAACTAACCCCGAAGGCATCAAGATGGCTTAGACACTGGAATCTGTGAGCTGACCATGATCAGTGCCTCAAAGTCCTCATCTTCATAAGTAAGAGCTCCCACTTTTTAATAAGCCCTAAAATGAAATTGTGTTCACTTGCTGGCGATTTCTCAGTTTTCAGTTAATGTCACATCATTAGCAGGAAAACAAGCATCAAGAAGGTAGAGGGTGCTGCGACGCGACGCACCCCACCCCACCCCACCCCCCACACCACATATATACTCAGTTACCAACTTTTAAAGGAGAGGGGTCCCTTACATAAACACGAGACACTGGATATACTTTGTGGGATTTTATTTAGGTCAAGTTCTTAGTACACAGCAACAATTCCAAATACCATTTAGAAAATTAAAAAGTGAATGAATGTTCCCCCACTCAGCTGGAGGTGGCTTTGTGGCACACACCATCACTGGCAACTGGCTGCTCCCACGCGCGGTCCTGCGTGGAGTTCACTCCCCATTTACCAAGCCTCCCTGGAGCCCAAAGGACAACTGGCCAGATCACAAATTGCTGACATTCTTTTTGGTAAACCATTTTGTTAAGAAATGGTGCATGGACACACACGTATGATAAAAACTGCTTTCCCTTAGAATTCTGAAATTACAAAGGGCATTTCCATTCTAATGTGAAAATAAGTTTTTGTGGTACAAAAACCCTCACATTTATCATGGGTCATTTCTACACAGCTGGGCCCTGTTGTCTCATTTTGTCATGTGTCCCCCACCCCACCCCGAATAGTTTCTCCATTAGAAACAGGAGCGAAGGCCAGCGCTGGTAAGCGTGCGGCGTGGAGCACGCTGCCCTTCATGACGCTCCACAGGCGCTGGCTCTGGCTCCTGTGCATGGCGTGGGCTGGGCAGTGCTCCTGTCAGATGCTGACATGAGGGAACCTGGTCTTGCTACATTGTACGGGGAAGACCATTTGCACTGAGTGTAGTCTTAGAAGGGTATGTTTTAATTTTCACTAAGGTTGTACTCGGTAGACTCCTTTGAATGGTATAAAATACTATTACGGTATTTACTGAAACAGCATTTTTTTTTTTTCAAGTAACTTTCACTTTGTTGAGAGAAAAATAAAGCCCATCTGATTCAGATGCCTGTGTAGTGGAAAGCACTTGGGCATTAAAGTCAGGAAGGGCCAAAGTGAGACAAGTGGAACCTCTTCCTGCTCCAGTTGTCTAGTTCTGAATCAGTCAGCTGGGGGAGGGTCACGGTAACACCTACATGGGATTTCTAGCGCAAGAAATATGGAAAATCCCTCCTCTTCAAAGACTCGATAGACAGTCACCTGTCAATTTCTCCACCTAGCCCTTTCCAAAGGTAGAGGTGCCCTTCAGGACATGTTATTCTCCGCAAGAACAAGGAAGAAAATGATTTAGCATCACTCTCATGCTTCCCAAGAGAAAACCTGAATTCCCTTTTCTGAATCCACTCAGACTGTGGGGAGCACAGCTCCGCCACAGAGCAGCACTGTAAAACGCACTCGCTGGCTGGATCGACAGCAGCAGTGGGGGAAGGGCCCCAACTCAGCACCTTGTGCCAACCTACACGCTAGAGTGGGAACAGCAGGTGCCTCTCAGGGAGACATAAGTCAAGAAGCCAAAAGATGGCCAATACTGAATAAGACATCAAAAGTTCCATACTTCAAACAGCAGGCTGAATCTCTCAGACCTAGATTTTGACACATTGGCACTCTTTGAAATTTATATCCTTGGCCAGAAGGTCAAAGACAACAAGAAAGTGTATTTTCATTCATATCTTCATTTAATTTCAAATAAACCCCTCCCACCAAAAGGGCGGGGAGAAAAACAAAAACCCCAGCTATTCAGTTATTCCTTTTTAAAGAAGCAGGAGTGAACACACAAGTCAAAAAGAAGCACTTCAGGAGGGGCAATTCCCCTCCCCTTGGATTCCCTCTTTCCTGTTAAATGGTTGCTTACCAGACAGCAGATTTTAGGCTTTGATCTGTGCTACAACATTGTAATTTGTAGCATGGAAGATTTCTGCATTCATTTGGAATTCCTAATACCATCTTTTTAGTTTATAAAAAGATAAACGGGGGCAACATACGATAAAAGAGGAAATACTACCCTTACAGACTATTACTAGCATGCAATCTATTAAAGTACCACATATATTGAAAGTCTCCAATTACTGTAGGCCTGGTCCATCACCATTACATAGTATCCTTCCAAGACAATCAATATAAAATTCAAAACTGTACAAATTTTTAAAATATGTAGACAGTCGAACTTGTACTTCTAAACAAAAAATTGCACACACATTAGTTACTAAATAATATAAAAGAAAAATTACTTGACCCATAGATCTGCCTCCCCACTCAACACCCCCCCCCACCCCCCAGGTTTGCAGTATAAGGACTTCACCAGTGTCTTCTGCAACCCCCAGTCCAGCAGGGTCCACCAGACAAGCTCCACTTCCGCTGACAACCACCATTGCTGCTGCTTGCACAACTGTCTTACTTAATTCTGTAGCTGTGGGGTTTATTTTTTGTGTTTCAACCCACTAAACTCTTCCATCAAAAATATTGTTTGAGTAGATAATGGGAGCATCTAATTTGAATTTTTTTCTTCTAGTTCTACACCATGTATTGAGAAGAGGTTAACCAGTACATGGTCCACAAAGGACCTCAAGGCTCAGTGGGCACGCAGGGCCATGACTTTTAAGAAAAACAGGAGAGAGACGGGAACAAAAGCATCCAATGGAATGTGAAGTGAAAGTGCATTAATGAAAGTCAAGCCCAGTGTCGGATAAATCTAAACTCAATGTAGTGGTACCAGACTGTGGTGGTCAGGAGGGGAGAAAGAACTCTGCGGCCAGGTGTTCTTCATGTGTGTGGTCAATCACTAGATTAACTTCTGACTATCCCAGCTAGATTCCTCACCTTACTACACGGGCCACTTTTCCAGAGAATTCCTCCCTCATCGGTGGTGCCCTCCGTCTGAAGTATCTGCAGTCACAGCCTCTCCCTGGCAAAGCTCTATTCTAGCCAGGACCCAGGGACTGGGAAAAACCCACCTGGCACCATCTCTACAGTATCCACCTGCTCAGGACCAAGCCCCCTGAACTTGTTCAGGATTTCGTATACTGCTTGCTGAGATGATGGATAAAGTCATGTTCCCTATAAGCTCCAGTGAAACTATAAGCTCCAGTAAAACTACTCGTGTGGATGAAAAACTATAAACAACTGGGCTATACTTTCTCTCAAAGTTCTCCTCCTTTCTAGGTGACTGGAGAAAATAAACGGCCTTTGGGTATATAATCCCACCACGATGGTTGTGGTCTAAGCTATCTGGTTCAGACCCTTAACAGACAATGTGACTGCCAAGTCCAATCACAAAATAAGGAGCGGATTGACCGATTCTAGAGCTAAGGAAGAACCCATTTGGACACTGGTCATTAACGACACCCAGAGTACACAGCAGCAAGCCTTTGTTTCTCTGTGACCTGAAATAACTATTTTCCAAAAAAGACACTTTTTCTAGATAGTGAAAACTCAAAAGCCAAACTCATTGCTATCAGTTGATTCCAATTCATAGGTGACCCAATATAGTCAAAATAATAAGGAAACAACCTCTAAGACCACACCACTCAAGGTCAGGGTTCAAGGTGCCTTTGAAGAGAACCCTTCTATTGTTGAATCTCTCCCGGAGTATAGGGGACCTGCCTGGCCATCCGCATGTGAGCAGCCTACCATGCTGGGCACATCGGGGTACACTGGCCAGGCAGCAGCACACGAAATCACACTAACACTTGTTAGCCACCCTCGGCATGTTTGGGGACTTTCAGATTTCACAATGTCCTCATAATTGAAAAACAGAAAGGGGTACAAGTCAGTTCAGCATCAATTAATTTGGTTCACCCAAGTGCTGACAATAATAGTGTAAGAAATAAGCCATCTGAAACAATTATTAAAAAACGGTTAAGTCTGGTATTTAAATATCGGTCCTCCCGCCCCCTCCTCACACAAGTTGGAGAAGTGTGGGGCTAAGAGATGCACTCGGCCGTGAGGTTAACCGTTAGCACAGACACTGAAGAATACCTAATGCACAGGTTCTGCAGGAGGAGACGTCCCAAGAGTCGACAGTATTCCTGAGAAAGACCCCAGATTTTTCTGAATCAGGCTCTGTGTTAGTTAGGTGGCTACGGCTTTGACATATTCACAGAGTCCTTTACGTTCAGTTCACACCGCTCAGCATAGTACAATGGCAGAAAGATCCGTTTGTTCAGACGCAGCTTGCCTTTGTGTTTAATACTGGGAGATAAACAAACAAACAACAGTAGTTTTTATCACTCGCATCCTTCCTTCATTTCACTGGAGGGGAATGCCTGGAACTTTCTGACCATCTGGGAAGACCTGACTATTCCTACGATGGAAGAACAGCCCTGCTGAGCTTTACTCCGAGTAATGCATGATCGACTCCACGTAATTCCCAGGAAAGAGCCCCGTGACTCCATTCATGACTCCCTCGTACCAACCGTCGTCATTCTTCTTGATGACATAAATTATGGCTCCTTCCTGAAAGGACAGCTCATCTTCCTTGTCTTTTGTATAATCATAAATGGCCACAACTGGGGGGGAAAAACCAAAATGCAATGTTACAGAATATTCCTAGACAAACGGAAACAATATGTCAGTGATGATCCACCCTCGGCCAGCTGCTGCTGCACTGAAACTCGAGTTCTTGACAAAGCAGACCACCCAACCCTACCCAGTGGGATTCCCGTGTCTAGGAGGTTAGGTTCTGAAGGACAAACTGCAGGTCAGGTGGAGTCACATAGACCTTTCCATGGCCTGTAGGAAAGTACGTCACTTCAGAGACACCCCAGAAAGGTGGCTGTGGGGGGCTGGTGAGATTGCAGGAATAACACAAGTTTTAAACAACTCCACTGGGGCTGTGCAGGGCACAAGACAGGAAGCGAGCTGCTGTCCTGCCCAAGTCCCGTTACTCCGCCTTGAAAGGAGTCTGAGCCGGCAGTCCCGCCCCCACTGCAGTGTCTGAGAGAAGGACCTCTGGGGGTACGGGAGGGTTTTCTAGGCAGTGTGAGTGCTCAGACGGTTTCTCTGGGTTCTTAATTTCTAAATACTGCTTCCTAAAACTGATCAGCCTGAGATGAACGCTTAGGTCACACATCAGTCCTGCGTGTTCCATCCCTTCTTGTCATTCTCTAAAGACAGAGGTGCACTGTGCTGAGGTAGACAAATACTTCCGACTGCCCCCCCCCTCCCCTCAGGCGATTCCAACTAATAGTGTCCCTCTCCAGGGCACACGATGGGGGCAGACAAGCTCTTCTTCCTCCCACACAACGGCTTGTGGGTGACTGCCAACATGTGCCTAACCCACAGCACCACCTCACTGAGTGCCAACTGCGCCAATTCCAAACACTGCTCTTGACATTCAGAAAGCAAATTAATTACTGAGTAACCTAGTCCTTTTCCGAGGCAGATGCTCTTGTTTCTTTGTTTTTAGCAAAAGAATTACAAAAAGGATTTAGCAGCTAAAGTGGCATAAGTCATGATTTTCAAACATAGAACAGTTATCAGATATTTTGGCAGGTAATTCTGAAGATGCTAAAAGAAAAACCCTTCCCTTCTCAGGGCCTTGTATACCGTAAAAGAGTGAGTGTGTGTGTGTAATACTTTTTTTACACATACACATACAATTTAAGTCAAAAAAGTATTGCTGTAAAATAAAACAACATGTGGAGGGAGGGTGGGGTGGAAAGGGGGAACCAATTACAGGGATCTACCTCTAACCTCCTCCCTGGGGGACACCAGACAGGGCAAGATATGACAAAATAATGTATAAATTATCAAGAGTTCATGAGGGAGGGGGAGTAGGGAGGGAGGGGGGAAAATGAGGAGCTGATGCCAGTGGCTTAAGTGGAGAGCAAATGTTTTGAGAATGACGAGGGCAACGAATGTACAAATGTGCTTTACACAATTGATGTATGTATGGATTGTGATAAAAGTTGTATGCACCCACAATAAAATTATTTTTTAAATAATAATAAAAAAATAAAACAACATATTACATTGGGTATATCTACTGCACAAGCCCTTTGTTTCTTTGAGGTCTACATTATATCTGACCAAAGCCATGGTATTTTTCAATCTAATATGGGCACTGAATAAGGGACTGAAGAAAAACAGATGCACTTGAACTACAGTGTTGGTGAAAAATACTGAGTGTACTATGGAGTGCCAAAACGCACGCGCGCGCGCACACACACATCTGTCTTGGAAGACACACAACCAGAATTCTCCTTAGAGGCAGAGAGGGATGGGACTTCATCTCACGGACTTTGGACATGTCATCAGGAGAGACCGGAAAAGAACCTGGCTGGTAAAATGGAGGAGGGCACAACACGAGGAAGGCCTGACACCGTGGCTGCAGCAGTGCGCTCACAAACAACACTTGTGAGGCGGCCCAGAACCGCACTGCTTCCTTCTGCCGTGCACAGGGCCGCTCTGAGTCGGACCCACTCGACGGCACCTGACACAACAACATAAAATCATAGTTAAAACTTTAACTGAAAATATCAAAATGTGAAGCTACATATTTGTTGCGTGACAAATCCTTCACCCGGGTCTGTACACTCCTGAGAGTGGTATTTCCATCTCTCTGATCTTTCCCAGAACAAGTCTCAGCTTTGCCTGCACAGTACACTGGGATCACCATCATTTGAGCATTATGAAACTGTGGGACCTGAAACCCAGTTCCAGAAATTCTGATTCCCTCGGTTTTGGGGGCACAGAAGTATTAAAGTTCCGCTGAGATGAGGGCTACAAAGAACATCTTAGATCTAAAAAAGCAGCAACTTTCGCAGTTACACTGACTAAACAAAAACAAAAAGAGCAATCATAAGCTGGCGTATAGGCCCCTGGCCGGCCACCACTAAAGGACCCGGAGGAGCTTCTGTGGTCCTCGTGCTCTGGAAGTCTTCCACGGACCCTGGAGAAGATTCTGGAGTGGCTCAACAAAGTCCAAGACACTCGGCTCAAAAAAAGGTTCCTGGAGGAAAGAATCCTAGAAGAAAATCTTGTTTCAGGAATTTTTCCAAATCTTGTGTGGAGAAGAGGTTCTCACATTTATTTCACTCTCCCTTTTTATAGCCATGGATCACCGTCTATCTGGTATCATTTTTCCTACACCTGAAAATGCTGGAGTTTTTATAATACGGAGCTTCTCAAATGACTCCCCAGGATCCCTGCCTTATGGCATTCAGGCCCTTGTCGACGCCCTTTTGAGACCAAAATCCATTTGCCAGGTCCACACATGGATGAAGCCACTGGTAAATACCCGCCTATCAGAGTTGAGGGATGTGAACAGCCACGTTCTCAGAGAGCACTATCAATTCAATTAAGGCAAACACACGTCAAAATGTAGTGTCTTATCATTGACCTCCCTCTTTTGATCCATTCTAAAGTTGTTTCAGTTCGGGGGAAGGGGGGGTGAGAGGGAAATTACATGTGGATTAAAGCCCCGGCTGGGGAGAGCCTTGTTATCAAGCAACATGCATTGGAAAGCGGCTGTTGCAGATGCAGTGAGATTAAAATTTAGCATCGAGACCCACAGCCCTACAGGTGACAACACCGGAGACAGTGTGGGAATTGTGCCCAATCTGATCCTGCCACACCGAGGCAAAACACTAAGGGGGTGCAACAGAACAGCAAGGGAATGGAGTGGCGAGGTCCCCAGGGAATGCTGAAGGTGGACTTTGGGGCCAG